AAAAAAAAATAGTCATATTATTTCAAATAATTTGCACGAAGCGAATCTTATATAATGCAAACATTACAAAAACCCCATGTGCAAAATTTATTTTTGGATTGTATGGTATGTTCATTGAATTGAATAGTCATATTTTTGTGAAAACACATTGAACATTTCACCTAATAAATAATATTTCAGCATAAATTGCTACATAAATTAAAAAAAAAAAAATACTGACATTGATATATTCACAGTAAATTTCTTTAAGGCTGTGACAACAACATTTGCCTAATCTTTAATGTGAAATAATTCATTTCTCATCCAATGTATTTATTTTCATTAAATTGAATTTCTGCATATAGTTGTTTCCAATATTTATGTCATTACCATCATTTAATTTTATTTTAGTGTCACTAATTAATATAATTAGGTTTTCAAATCTAATAATTGTTATGCCATTTGAATTAATTAGTCCACAAATTGTTAAAAAAGTAAAAGTTGACAAATTAACGCGGTAACAATGCACTCAAATGCTGATTAAGTGAAAAAAGTTGAAACAAAAGTGTAGAGGTCACGGTCTCGTTACTGAATCATTTCGTCGGGGTTTGTAACGTTAGATTAACTATCCACGACGGTTACCTGATTATTTAATTGTTACATATCCCAACGGAATGCTTTCATAATAAAACGGGACTGTAGCATTTTCGGAAGTTATGTTAATTGTTATTTAAATGGGTTTTGGTTTTAAAAAATATAAAGTTACCCAAAAAATATGCAAGGCTCCGTGATTGTTGGGGTAAATGATACGATATTATCGGCCTTAAGAAAAAAAAATTCTTGATTGATAGTCAATAATGGCAGACAAAAAAAAAGTCATGTTCGGCTGTGTTTTATTTTAAAGGTACTCAAATCTCAGATTGAATAACAAGAGCAGACACTCTTACTTTATGTCATTTTCTTTATTTTCTCCGAATATTTAAATGTTGGGGTATATAAACCTGCATTTTACTTGATAATTGTCAGACAATTTTATTTTTTAAATAGGATACTGATTTGATAATCATACTTAGTGTATAAATATATATAGAATTTAAAATTAATATATATCATACTTTAATAATAGTATATAATAAATGTGTGTAATATCTTACAGCTTGAAAAAATATTCATAATGCTTTGGTTTATTAAAAAAATGTAATTAGATACTAGATAGAAAATAGACAAAAGACGTTATTTTATAAGTGAATTTAGAGTTTGTAACGGATAATTTATGACCGAAAAATTAGCTGCTATGATAAAAATGTCTGAACAAATTAACTGATAAGCCAGTTGAAATAAAAAATTCAATTGACTTATTTGAAAAAATACCCAAGTTTGAAAACTTATGAGATAAACACTAATTTCTATAAAAAGTTTATCCTACCAAAATAAACTTATTTGAATACATGCATATAAATTATTCAAATAAGATATAAACTAGTCTACGATGCTTGACATACACTCTTAGAATAAAAATAAAAAAAAATGTCTTCCAACGCAAGCGAAAATAAATTGAGTCCAATTGATATGAAAGAAAAAAGAAAGAAAAAAGAAACGAAGCTAAATCCACCCTTTAGAACTATTAGAAACACAAGTCGTTTAGAAACATAAGTAGACTCGATCTCTATCATAGAAAGAATTTGGCTATTTTACTTGTTTTATTCACGTCTTAGATCTATTAGAAACACACGTCGTTTATAAACATAAGCAGACTCGATCTCTATCATAGAAGGAATTTGGCTATTTTTACTTGATTTAATTCATGTCTTACATCTATTAGAAACACGAGTCGTCTAGAAACATAAGTAGACTCGATCTCTATCATAGAAGGAATTTGGCTATTTTACTTGATTTTATTCACGTCTTAGATCTATTAGAAACAAACGTCGTTTATAAACATGAGCAGACTCGTTTTCTATCGCATAAGGAATTTGGCTATTTTTACTTGATTTTATTCATGTCTTAGATCTATTAGAAACACAAGTCGTTTAGAAACATAAATAGACTCGATCTCTATCATAGAATGAATTTAACTATTTTTACTTGATTTTATTCATGTCATCGAAGATTTATATAGTGAGTAAAATCAAATTTAAAGCATCGTGCATACTCTAAATATATATTTTTGTTTAAAAATAATAATAATAACGAACCGCGTAGCAATTACACTGTCTTAGACAAGTGTTGTTCCTTCAAATAATCATACTTTACGTTCATTTGACTATTTTCATACTTTGGAATAAAAATGATATAATTGAGTGAACTTATGATTTTTAATCATTTTTACTATAATTAAGATTAAGATTCAATCATTAAAGAAAACATAATAATCACTTCTCAAGAATCAAGATTCAAACTCACGCTATCCAACCAAAATGAATGAAATTGTATGAAAAGAAAGAACATAATGAAAATAAATTAAAAATTACAATAATAGTGCGTGATCATATAACAAAGAGGGTGAAACAAAGTATCTTTCTTCATGAGATACTATGGTCCCGTTACGAAACTATTCTGTTAGAATTTATAACCGTTAGATCAACTGTTTCCGACGATTACATAATGATCTAACGATTACCAACCCGACGGAACGATTTCGTTACGGCACTATAGCATTTCCCTCTTCTTTAATGTATACATTTAGAACCAAATCCAAAGATAATAACATGTAGTATAATGAATACTATTATTCAATATATTAAGATATTGTAGGTGGATTGACTTTAACTATGGAGGCTCAACAATCAGTGTATTTAATTTTCCTTTAGGTTTGGTCCCGATTTTATGGCCTTTAAAGTCAATCTGCCACACCAAAAAGATGATATAATCTACATAATTAATTTTAAATTACACAGTTATTTTATTTTTAATAAATCTTTTGTTTGCTAGCTTTTTTAATTTAGGCCTCAAAAATCAACCCTTTGAATGTGTTTCCGTAATCATATTGTCCGCATGTTGCGCAGCAAATAAATGTTTTGGAAACTTATTAACAATATTTAAATAAAAAAAAAAATCAGCTTTTTTATTAAAAAAGTTCCCCTGTAGATCCGGAAACCGGAAGGTCCCTGTATTTAAAAAAAAATAAATCAATTTTTATTTCTTCAGAAAAATTATCTCGTTCAAATTGAAAACGAAATAAAATATCGTATTATAAAATAAAAACAAAAGTATAATATTTTATATTATAAATATGACTTTTTTGTTAAAAATACTAAATCGTCACAAACAAGAGTTTTGTACATGAAAAATTTGCATTAAGAGAGTGCCATGATACATGTCTGGTCCCTTTGTGGCCCATAATTTACTTTATTTTTTGCAAATTTTAAAAAAAAAATATATACATAATAAAATAATATTATATTAATTAATTAAAAAATAAAAGGCGCGAGTGCAAAGGTGGTTGGAGATTTATTTACAACCGTCATTGTAATCCAACGGTATCTCCGTGACATTTGTCCCATGGACCAAATCAAGCATACCAAACAAAGTGGAAAATAATAACAAATGATAAATAAATAAATAAATAAATAAATAAATAAATAAATAAATAAATGGAAAATGTTACAGTCTCATTACGGAATCATTTCTTTGGAATTTGTAACCGCTAGATCATCATCTAACCATCGTGAAAAGTTGATCTAACAATTGTAAAACTCCGACGAAATGGTTCCACAATGAAAAATTGATATAACAGTTGTAAACCCCAATAGAATAATTTCATAACACGACCGTAGAATCTACCTAAATAAATAAATATAAAGGAAAATTGACCATGGGCTTTCTTTTGTAATTATTCAGGCCCACCATGTTACCAAAAATCAACATACACAAATTCTCCTCAATTTTCCCAGTCACTCTCCTCAGTAATCAGCGCGGCTCAAAACATAGGAAAATGTTACAGTCTCGGTACCATCCCGTCGGGTATTTTAACCGTTAAATCATATATCTTATCTAACTATATGTGGATCCAACAGTTAAAATACCCAAGTGGATGGTACCTAACGGGACCGTAGCATTACATAATACTCATTCTTCACTATAACTGCAGAAAAAAAAAGCACAAGCAATGCCACTCTTCTTCATCTCGTCTTTTTCTTCCCCTTTCTCTCTCTAGACCCTTTTTTTTTTTCTTTTTTTGCCCTTTTTTTTCTAATTTTTTCACACTAATTTTGCCACATTTTGCGGGAAGGACCTCAAAATTTGCTCTTTCTTGCTGAGCCCAGGTACCTAAAATAAATTAAAGACTGAATTTTTATGGGTTTTTTTTTTGGTGTTTTCTTGAATTAAAGTTCGTATTTTTGTGATATTTTTTAAAAACCCATCATTTATGACAGTGGGATTTCTTGGATTTTTGAGGAAAAATCTCATTGCAGGTTATTGAGTGAATAATATAATTCTTGGTTTGAATTGATTGTGTTGGATTGTTACTTTAATTTTTTTTTTTTCCAGATTATGTTTTGGTGAAAAATTTGAAAAATGGGTTTTGCACTTATGCTTATTTGAGAAATCAAGATAATTTTTTTTTCTTTTATTTTTTCTT